TTCAGGGTTTTGGGGTTTAGGGGTTCAGGGTGTAGGGTTTAAGGGTATAGGAGTTTAGGGGTTGGGGGTTTAGGGTTTAGGGGTTAATTAACGGGTTTCGGGGTTAGGGTTTAGGGGTTCAGGGTCTATTTTGGGGTTTAGGGTTAATTCGGCGGGTCCCTCATCTCCTGTTAGCTAACTCACAAGGATAGTATAGAGCCCGCGCAATTGGGGCTTGGGGTGTTTCGTGTATGCATACCCTTAGCATCAAGATAGCCCAAAAGCCTTATATCATAGGGTCTTGGGCCCGAAAGCCTTAAAATGTGAGTCCTTTGAGGGTAAGGGATGTAGTACTTCCCCAAGCCTTAAATCTTGACGCCCGGACTCTATCAGTCTATGAGAGATTGAGCATATGGGACCCTCAATCGTAGGATCCTCCTTGAAGGAAGCCACAAAAAGGCACTGTGAGGTTTAGAGTGCTCTTATACTTTCGGCCAGGATTGAGGGGTTTAGGGTTTTCAGGAGCACTCTCCGCCCCGGCCCACTTCGAATTCCAGATACGGGAGAGTTCCCTGGCAGGCTTTCCGTCCTCCTCCGATGTGCGGAAGGCTGCGCAGCCTTCTCAGGCCCTGGAGACGGCACACAACGCATTTCCCTTGATTTTTTTTTGGGGGGGGGTTTGGGGTTTAGGGATCCCGGTGCTGGGAGGTCATATTCAGTGCTTGTCGAGTTCAAAGGCACCCCTGAGGTTCTCAGGTACCAACTCGCAGTTGCCGGGCATGGAGACTCTTAGGAGTTTAGGGTTTTGGGTTTAGGGATAGCATGGCAGAATATTTGGACCTCTTGGAGCTTAAGGGTTCACGGAACCGGCCCACACGACACTTGAGGTTGCCCGAGTTTTGTTTTGCCATGCCCCCTGAAGCTGCAAGTGGGTTAGTTCTCTAAATTAAGTATCAGGGCCCCATGTCGGGTCCCTGCCAAATATAGTACGGCACCCTTATAAGAAGAACCCGAAAAAGGGACCCCTTTTTGGAGAACTACCCAAGTAGCCCTATAGAGCTTAAAGCCTGAAAAGACGAGCTTAAGACTTATAGCCCTAAACCCTCGTAAAACCCGAAGCCCCAAGTCCTTTCGTTGTGACCTGCCTAACAGCCACGGAGAGATTGTTGAAGTGAAGAGCTTCCGACTTGCAGCTAGGTTTCTTGATTGCAGGGTGTGAGAGTTCAGGACCTCGGGGGTAGGGTTTAGAGTGTAGGCGTTTAAGGTTTAGGGATTGGTAAGGTGCTGGTAATTTAAAGTGCACCTGCACCATAAGAAATGCCAGCTTCCAGCGTTGGGAACCCTTCATGTCTTGACTTCCTTTTAGATCACATGTCCGTATTCCCCAGCTCCCGAATCGCGGGGTACCCTTCGTTTCTTAACCATTTCTTGGCCGGGGCTCGAGCCCATGGAAGTCCATCAACTGAGCCAAAGGCTTTAACCAATAATTGCACTCGACAGACATCGCCAAGACAGTATTACAGTACACTTTTGTTTCAGTGATTAGTGTCTACATGCAACCTGCCAGCACTTCATGGCACGGCAGCTGACGCTCCATAGTTGCGGAGCTACTTTACGCCTCGGCGGTCGCTCGTTCACACTTCAAAACGGTCATGCGCCGTGTCGTTTCTGCTGGAAGGCTTGAAGGTTTCCAAAGCAAGCGCTTGCCGGCCACGAAAACAGCTTGCACAAAGCTCTGATCGATGATGCAGAAAGGGCGGGAATCCAGCCTTTGTTTGAGCCTAAACGGGTCAAGCAAGAGGCGCCGTGTGAGGTCTCCAGCTAGAAAGCATCAAAGATTTCGGTTTTTGGGTGATATCCGGCTGACGTAGACCCCACCATTTCTTATCCAAGTGCTTCTTGTACAGTGATGGCATTGTATGAGGTGAGATGGAGCTATTTTGGATTTATACACAGGGGAAGGGTTCTGGTTTACAGGTACGGGGATGTGGGTGGGTGGGGGGGGGGG